AGTGTTTATATTTTTCATTTGATTTGCTTTATCCAGATGGTGATAAGTTGTTTTCCTTCCAAATACTCCATATCATCTCTCTAGTTCTATAAATCGTGCAGTAATGGTAACAACAATAAGCAACATTTCGTTTTTTGTGACTTTTTTTTATGATATTCAATTTTATGTAATACAGTCTGTTCTGGCAGTTATGGAGGCCAGAAATAGCACTGGTGCTCCTTGGAGCTGTCAGTCATCCAGCCATTGTTCACGAACATTATATTCCATACTTGGTTATCAATGAAAATAATGAAAAAGCTCCTTCCTAAATGCCAAAAGAGTCTAATCACCCACCAAGAGATTTGTGTGCTTAAGACACAGTTCAACTGGCTTTGTGTACTTGCAGGTCTGGCCGTAAGCGCCGCTATCTGGGCCGAATTGTATCACTTTGGTGCGAAATCTGGGGGTTGAGGGGAGCCAGCGATAACACAATCGAAAGCGTGTTTTTCCTTGGGTATCTCCGGGCTTTCCAGGGAGCAATTGAAAACCTTCTGTCCGTAATTCGCTCTAAGAATATATCAATATCTTTAACCCATTAACACCGGTATATTTAGAAGCCGAAAATAAAAGATTTCGGGCGGCTACAAAATCGGCGCGTAGGGTTGGCCCAGACTTTGCTGCTGGCCCGGCCCGCAGTTGCGTTGGAGCATAAGCCGAGATATAGCGTCACACTGGCCTGGCAATGTTTATTTTTTCGGGTGTCTCATATGTGGGGCACCCGTCGTTAATGGGTTAAGAATTTATAAAGTCAACTAAAGTTATATTAGAGATTTTATGTAAAACAGCTAGCTAATTACCACAAAATGTTTTTTATTACCAAAAACAAGTAAACAAGAAAGGGCTAATTTGAAACTGCAGCTCTACACTCACGTTGACAGTAGATCTATCCAATACTAAGGCTATGTATATAGAGTATTTTTTAATTTCCTTTGTTGGGGGGGTGGGGACTGGTTTATATAGTGACCACATTTTGGTAATTTTTTCAGTTTTACATTATCTATATCTTTAGATTCATTCCAAAATTCAAAAATAGGTTATTTACATGGCCTCAGCACACTGATGCTCTAATGAAAGCAACAAACCATGTTTGAATCGCATGAAAATTACAACTGCTGGGAAGTAGTGAAGCTTGTCGAAACAAAATTATGAGAGAAATAGTTGGGAATTTGGACACCCCAAAATTTGTTAGCTCTGTTATTTTTTGCTAAATCCAATATCGCAAAAAAAAATTATTTAGTTTATTTTGCAATGCGATATTTACCAAGTCAAGGTCAGAGCGGGTATTGCTGTGGACTATCATCTTCAACATGAAATAATCGGTATCTTGCTTACATCTCCGAAGTTTAAAGATCCAACTCTTGGGTGCCCTTCGCATTGAAGTGCTCTTTACAGCAAAAACGACCAATTTCAAATCAAATTAAATTTACCAACACGGAAAGTATCAACAGTTAGGCTAAGTCAAACTGAAATATTTGAATCATTATTTGTACGGCTATTTCCAAACATTGTACTCGGTATACACACAGGTCCCTTCATAAGCTATAACATATTACCAGGGAGTCTCAATGGAAAGCACATTTTATGTGTAAAAATACACATTATTATTATCCCCCCCTCAAAACATTGTCATAAATTTTCTTTCTTTCTTTGTACAGATAATGGTATAAAAGTGTTCTTTGAACATTCAGGAACTCATATCTATGTGCAATCTCATTATCAAATGCCATATGCAAGATTGCAACAAGCAAAAGTCCACACAGGGGTACTGGGCACATATTAGCTCCATACCACCTCTACGTGTTGGTGGTTCTTGCGTGTGCTACCCAAGAAATAACTCAAGCTAATCTCTAATAGTAATTAGGTAGTTTCCTCATTCTTCTATCTATACACTAGGCTAGCTAACTCAATTTGACCACCCTTATATCCACCCCCTCCCCTCGCCGAGGGATGGTTCTCTTAAACACGAAACTACGCGAAAACAGGGAATAAGTCCTTGAGCTACATATTGCTCAAATGAGAAACACTATGTTTGGCTGGGTACTTGGACACAAGTCAGGTCCTAGAGGAAGACAAGGCCAGTTGAACTGCGCCATTATGGCAAGTATTTCCAGTCACCCTGGCCTTCGGCCAAAATGCTCATGGCAGCAAGTTCATATCGCCACAGCCAGATTTTCCTACGATGGCATGTTCAAGTCACTTGCTCCTTATGTTAAATATATTCATGTGGTGAGGTCATCTGGATTGTAGGGTTTAAAAATTTAACTTCTTAAAACTTTTTATACTTTTGTTGTTATCTGGCTCATCAGTAGAACTTAATGAAGGATTTAGAAGTTGTTCCTTTACTGGTAGAGAAAATGTAATTAAACAAATATTTTTTTGATTTATTGTTTGGTATCTAATCTGTGCATGATTGATTTATGAATAGCATGGGTTCTTATTTACCATTCTTGGTTTGTTACTTATTCCAAAAGAGACCTTACATGGTATGGGCATAGCATTTGAATTGGCAAGGAAAGAGAAAGCTTTTGTCAGTAAGAGAAGGTATTGTCTATCAATAGCATCATTACAACTTTTTCTAGGGAGGACAAGGGGGGTTAGGTGAACAATTCAAACAAAAATTTACCAAAATTAGCTATGCTAGGGGCATTATTAAGCTATAATCAGACCTATATAGGTATGATTTAGTTTCAAAAAGTTAAAAATTTTGTCGGGGGGGTCAAGCCAAACTTTGAGGCAGCAAACAGTCTTGGGAATGCAACTGCCTGTAGTCTCCCCACCCCCCTCAAAGGATACCCCTGATGTTAGTGCTGGATCTTTTAATTTGCAAACTGCAGATAGTTGGTAATGTGCAAATTATAGACAGATTGAAGCAAATAAGTGGTAATAATTTTTTTTTTTTTTTTTAATGATGGTGTAAAGTCTTCTCTTATATCCGATCATAAAAGGGAAAAACTCTTTGGGATTCCTTCATGCTGGCTAAAAGACCAAATGGCATAAACATCATTATTGCACATAAACATGATAAAGCATAAGATGTGTACTAGACAAGCAGTAAATACAGCTTTTAAGGGAAGAGCAATGAAACAGATGAGTATGTTGAGAGCCTTTGTAATATATTTCTTCTTATGGGCATGCATACCCTAAAGAAGCTGTAAAGTAAAAAAGTCAAAATTTGTGACTGATGCATTTGTAATAATGAAATCAGACTGATATTTTTGGTCTAAATCCAAGCAAAAGTATTAAGCCACCATGATGCACTCTATGATTGAAAAGCTATAAACTGTGGTTTGACTGATATAATAGAAGCATGACATCCATGTCCCAGGTAGGGCAGCAATTTTCAGTATGGCATGACAGATGTGCCACCTGGAGGTAAAAGGTTGATATTAAGCAGATGGGTAAGAGAGGAAGTTTATTTCTTCAAACAAGTTTTACATATTTAAACATTTTCTAATTTAGTAATTTCATTGAAATCTTCAACTTATGGTAATTCTTGTTTGCACATTTACCATTATGCAGTGAATTAAAGGTCAAATAGTGGATTCATCAGAAGTATCAGTTAATGCATAACATTTCTGTGGAGACCATCATCAAATTACAAAGAACAAATCAAGTGCTTGCCCTTACTAGATCAAGACAGACATGTAAGGTCCCAGTCCTTTTCTCTGTAACCTGTATGTGGAGTTTGTGTTATTTTCTTTTTTTTACAGTAGTTGTCTCTCCCTCTTTCAGGATGATGACAATGGTTGGGGTTTGCCTATTTTCCAGGACACCGATGTCGTTTGGGGGGATGAGGACAAGGAGACGGAGGTTAAGCGCTACTTCAGAGCTGAGTACTTCACAGAAGACCAGACCAATCAGAAAAGTGTGTTCTCTCTCTCTCTTAACCTTACATTTACTTGTTTTAGCTAAATGAGTGAAAAAAGCATTATTAAAATTATTTTTTTACCCTTGCATTATTGGAGAAATAATTTGAAAAAAGGTTCTTTTGAAATTTATTTTCTTTAGCTAGTCATATTCAGATGTATTTTGTTAAAAAAAAAAAAAAAAAAAAAAAAAAAAAAAAAAATATATATATATATATATATATATATATATATAATATATATATATATATATATATATATTATATATATTATATATATATATATATAATATTGCACATGGGGAGGACAGTTCTGTATATACTGTTATGAGTAACCTTTCCCTGATGTACCTCCTCTTTCCTTCCTCCTGATATGTTCTCCATTCAACAAGATTAATAATGATCAACTTTACAGTGTTGCGAGTGTTTGTGGATAAGAGAATAACAATTGGTCAGCTCAAGAACGAAATGCAGCCATGGGTCGGCGTCTCACAAGATCACTTTAAGCTTTTTAAGATATATTCAAACAGGTATGTGAGGTTTGGGTTCCAACCTTTCTTAAAATAATTGCAATGTTGAATATACAAGACCTCTTAACACTCCTTCACCCTCCTCTCTCTCTTTCCTTCTCTCCCCACTCTCCTCTCTTTTCTCTCTCTTCCTCTCTCTCTCTCTCTTTCCTTCTCTCTCTCTCTCTCTCTCTTCTCCTTCTCTCCTCTCTCTCCTCTTTCCTCTCTCTCTCTCTTCTCTCTCTCTCTTCCTTCTCTCCTCTCTCTCTCGTCTCTCTCTCTCTCTCTTCTCTCTTTTCCTCTCTCTCTCTCTCTTCCTTCTCTCCCTCTCTCTTCTCTCTCTCTCTCTCTCTCTCTCTCTCCTCTCTCTCTCTCCTCTTTTCTTCTCTCTCTCTCTTCTCTCTCTCTCCTCTCCCTCCTCTCTCTCTCTGCTCTCTCTCTCTCTCCTCTCTCCCTNTATATATATATATATATTATTATAATATATATATATATATATATATATATATATATATATGTATTTATGTATCCGCGGAATTAGTGAGGCTCCGGCGCTGACACGAGGTGAATATACAGCTCAGCCTTTTGTCCCCCCCCCCCCCCCCGATTCATCCACTAGTGCTAGATTTCTATTCCACGACATTAAGCTAAGGATAAAAAAAAATGGAAGAGTAATATTATATTTGTGGCTTGTGAGGCCTGAAAAAAGACATTAATAGATAGTGGAAAAAATGATTCTGAGAAGTCCTTAGAAACATGACTGTGGCCATATATATATAATATATATATATATATATATATATAATAATATATTATATATATATATAGATAGATAGATAGATAGATAGATAGATAGATAGATTAGATAGATACACATACATAAAATGTATATATCTTTTAAAATGAATAAGTTATTGATATACCTTTATATGGCTTTTGTTAATAATAGCGAAACATTATAGCGAGAGAACTACACAGAGTGCCTGTCAGGATGAACATACTGCCTTTGCAGTGTGTGACGATCTTCTGTAATAAACTACATCGATACTCTTTTATACATTTACTTGGAACTATTACTTGATGAATATATAACCCTTATGACTACTGATTATCATGATGCTTGCTTATGGCATTACAAACACAACTTGCACTGTTAAGATCGACGTACTGAGCAATAATGGAGACAGACTGCATTCATTGTTCATAAGGAATTGATGTAGTTTCCCAGGTTTTCTAGTCGGATTCCTACTCGCTTCCCGCTACCGCTACCATCAACGAGCTGTGGAAATATATCTAACACACTTATAATTAACCGGCCTTCTATTAAAATATCTTTCCTTCATCTAATCTTATTATTGCACGTGTACCAAGTGTGCATTCTCGGCCGACTGGGTCACTACATGCGCACTGTATAGAAAACGCGGCTACTCCTTCCTTTTAAAGTGTTTGATATGATTCTTTGATGTTTTATGCTATTAAAAGTTTCGGTTTTCAATTGCTATTCACACCCTACACAAGTAAGGAGAGAAATCTTTTAAATTAGTTTTTAATTTCAGTATATGTTATTTTTAAATTAACCTTATGCGTTTTATATACTTTTATTCTGCAACTTTAATTTCTTTTGATATACTCTTTACATTCTAGTAAGTTAATGAGAATGTAAGTTAATGATCTCCAGCCTTAAACCTTTTCGCGATGTTTACTCCATTCGTTTTACCTGAATTGCCTTCAAGAAACAAATCGAAAGCAATTTGTGAAGCTGCCAGCTTGTAGAGACGGCCGAGAAAAATGATTTTAAACAAGAGCTTGGGCAACATTCAAACGAATTTTGCTAATTTGGATAATGAAAACAAGGCATAGTCTTATTGGGACACGAAGACAAACTTTTAGATGGAACTGAACAATACAATGAGAACATAAAGTGGATTGCAAACATTCTCAAGGTCATTAATCACGTATTCGCGGAGAACAATATCATAGCTCACAGAAGGGGAAAAACACCCTTAAAAAGTAACATTCATGAATAAGGAAATGGATACTAATATAATAAAGAAAGCCAAAGTCCTGGCCACCCATGAAAAATGTAAGAAAATCTAGATAGAGAAAATATCGGATGAGGCAAAGAACAGAGATTAACAAAGGAGTGAAGAGGAAAATAATATTTGAAGGGTGAGCAAGTGTGATATCGGAACCAAACATTAACCTTGCAGCCAAAAGGAGAGCCGGAAGATTATATAGAAAGAATTTATACAAACAGTTTATTTTCGAAGTTTCTAGAATAAGGGACAATAACCAGATGTAATATGCATCACTGAATCCAAACTGGATCCCTTCTCAGACTATGTAACATTAGGACTCAGAGCCTGTAATATTTGGAAAAAGATCGGGTAAATGGAAATGGAGGAGCAATATCAATAAGGAAAGGAATTATTACAAAGGAATTAGAAATTAAGGGAACCCATTGTGGAAATGAAAGCAATTCAGTTAGAAGTAAATTGGGTAAACATACTAAAAACTACAGTGTACTTGCGGCGACAAACAAAACCCTCAAAATTGCAGACCGGTTTCGTAAACTAGCGTAGTATGTAAGCTATGTAAAGGATAATTAGGAAACAGTGGGTTGAAGTACTTGAAAAATCACGAAATGATAACAAATAAACAAAGTTTTAGAGAAGGAAGGTCATGTGTACCAAATCTACCTCTGTCTTTATGGCAGAGCATATCAAATATTAGAAGGAGTTGGCAAGTAGATTTTTGTGTACTTAAACTTTACATAGAAGACTAGTATGGAAATAAGAACATGTAGCCGGCATAGCAGACAGTTAAGAGCACCTCCCGTCCCAGTCGGACTCTCATCTCTAAAGAACTGGCAATCCACGCTGTCAGCGATGGATTCACGGTTCTGGACACCCCGCGAGATGGTCATCCACCCAAGATTGAATCCCCTCATCGACGTCGCCTACGTTGTTGGAGCCATTGGGTTGCGACCTGCATCCCGAGTTTCCTCATACTCACGAGAAAATTCTATGTTTAAGAGGTTACTTTCATGCCAAGACTTGCAAGTTGATTCCATGCTAAGAATGTTACCTCCATGCCAAGGCCTGCGAGCTACATCACCGGCTAATGCGGATTTACTCCCTATCAACCAGCCAACTTTCTTTTGGTTTTGACTCCCTTAGGGTCCCTTTCAGAGCTCAGATGAACCCTGATGGCAGTGCCACGAGGGGGGTCCATAGGCTGGACTGCCTTAACCTCTGAAGAAAAGTTAATTTTCTGTAGGGATAGGATTCACCCAGTGGTGGCTGTCTTACGTGTTCAGTCTGAGTAGCGCTAGGTAACAATTTGGATGCTGGGTGAATTAGGTAGGATGGAGTCTCACCATGAAGAAGAGTAAATACAAGTACAAAGGCAAAACACCGGATAAACCCTACCAAAACAGACCAAAACAACCCCCACAGTCAAGGGCCAAGCATCTAAAAGCACAAATAATGCTTCCACCTCCAAACCAGCCAACCAGGTGAACCAAGGGGCTTCCACTTGTGAAGAGCCCCTTACCTCACCACCAAGTCCCTTATCAAGAGAAGATTCCCTCAAAGGACACTTCCTAGTTTCGCCCTCCAAAGACTTCTCCACCATCTTTGAAGCCTTCTAAGGGTGAGACCAGACAGATCTTGTTCTCCTACCTTAGGGAGCCACCAGAAAATCTCCGCATCAGTACTGGTACCTTCTCACTAAGGCAATATTGCCCTGAACCTCTTAGATGTACGGTAATTAGAGGAAAGCATTCGACATGGCGACGAATAACCAGCGGAGTATTATGTTTACGATTATGTTTACTATTTTCGTCAATGATTTAGGGAAAGCATAAGCCTAGGTAGTTGTCTGAATATGTTTGCAGACGATGCGAAAATGTAATAAAGGATAATAGACGACTTCTCATGCTAATGCTAATATATGAAACATGGAGTTCATCACCAACAAATGCCACGTAGTCAGGCTCGGAGAAAGTAAAAATCGTCAACTATATAAGTATGAATTAGGAGACGCAATATTAAACACAGCTGACAGGGGACATGACCTTGAGGTAATCATCGACAGGATCCTAAGCCCAAATGATCATAAATATGAAAAAGCCCATAAAATACTTGGACAGATTGACAAAATGAAGAGGGCATTCGTGTACGTGTACGAAAATATGGTAAAGATCAATATAGCCAACATAAAGACAGTCTAGAATACGGTGTAATGGTATGGAACCCACGCTGTTAGAAGGGGGATATAGGCAAACTGGAAAGAGTTCAGAGAGCAGCCACCACATGTGCACCTACTCCAAGAGATATGAGCTACGATGGTAGACTAAAGAAATTAGGACTTACTACTTTAGAAGAAAGAAGGGAGGGGGGCATAATTATGCGCTTCGTTAAATTTATAATTTTAAACACAAGAAGGGCGAGAGCACAAAGTAAAAAGTGAAAGCATAAAGGGATGAGAAAGACGTCTAAATAATTAATTTCCCTAACGAAAATATTGAAGCAGTTATCGAAGAACTGTTGTATGTGCCCAAAATGTGCATCAATTTAAAAAAAGATATACGATGATTTGAATATAGCAGACGGGACCATCTGAGCTTAGCTCTTCTCCTGTATTTAGACAACTAGGTAAGCACACACACACTGTATCTGTGTGTGCGTTTGTGTGCCATGAACTTTAAGATAAGGGTTATCTTTCGCTCAGTATACTGCGACGGTTCGAAGAGGAAAGGTGAGTTTCGGGCAGCAGCGTCTTGAACACTGAAGAAAACGTAAATGCAGAGATTAAAGACAGTGGCCGATGAAAAGTGAAAGAGGAGGCAGGTAGGCGTAGTTGGTTCATGAATAATAATGTGATATTCATGTTAACTAAGAGGTGAACGTCGTAATGCTATGTAAAGTATACATCGTTAAGTACTTTTAAACGAATAATACTGGTTATTTGACAAGATAATACAGGATATATTGCAATTATCATTATCAGCATTAGGTTTACTCTCAAATTTTATTTTGGGGGATTCCTTACCCTTAAAACACGCATATATTATAGGCCATGGGGAGAAGAATTGGCTGTAACTTTTAGGGTCTTACTGATAAATGCTGATAAGATATAAGGTTAATTCTGCTTTGTTTTCCCTTATCGTGTTTGTTCATTCAGACATGGAGATAGCAAGAGATAAACTCATTACACACACACACACACAAAAGCATAAAAATTCACGCATTACCCGCACACATACAAACGCACGCACGCACGCGCGCACGCACACACGCACGCACACACACACACACACACACACACGCAGACACACACACACACACACACACACACACACACACACACACACACACACACACGCACCCACGCACGCACGCACACATATTACATTCTGAAAACGCCATTTATCTTATCAAGGAACCTGATGTTGTAAGACCTTTGATATCGTGAAAGCGAAGGGGGGGGGGGGAGTCGAGATCGGGTGAGCTAAGGTCTAATTCTGCGCAGTTTGAAAATAAGGCCTATGACGTCACATGAGTTAGGCTGTGAGAATGATAGGATGGAGAAAGGATGATGATAGAAAATGGCGGCCAACTGAGCGGGAACTAAAGTACTTTCTAAACGCGGGTTTATTCCGACGATTTGTAAATTTGGATTGGTTTTAAAGGCGATGATTTTCAAAAACTGCATATTTTTTTTGGCGCCGATTTTATATTTCTCATGCTGCAACTTAATTCTGTTACAATAAAGAGGTCCGAAGAGCAGAGAAACCTTGAGAGGAATTATATTACTTTACTGATATTATTCTAATCTGTCATTCTATCTATCCTGTGTAGGCTCGCCGTTTATATAAAAATCGGCTTTTCAATAAACCAACTTCTGGAAGCCGGAAATTGTTACAAAACTCTATGTCGGCGTCCACAAAATTGGGCCAATACTATTTTCATAGGTGGAAGTCGGTGGCCATCTTGAAATACGACCGCCATCTTGAATTTCCAAACGGCCAGTGGGGCAGATCTGAAGAGTTACCCATGAAGAAAAATCCTGCCAACTTTTGTGCTTGTATCATATCTGAATTGTATTTTTTTTCTACTTATCTACTCTGCTACGGCTACCGTGGAGTTCTCAGACCACAGCGGCAATCTCACTAGAATGCAAGGCGTGTCATAACAGAGAGGTGCCAGGATTGATGGGGTGGGTGAGGGAGAAGGCAGGGAGTGACAGGGGGGAGGGAGAAGGCAGGGAGTGACAGGGGGGAGGAGAAGGCAGGGAGTGGACAGCGGGGAGGGAGAAGCAGGGAGTGACAGGGGGGAGGAGAAGCAGGGAGTGACAGGGGGGAGGGAGAAGGCAGGAGTGACAGGGGAGGGAGAAGGCAGGGAATGACAAGGGGGAGGGAGAAGGCAGGGATGACAGGGGGGAGGGAGAAGGCAGGGAGTGACAGGGGGGAGGGAGAAGGCAGAGGATGACAGGGGGAGGGAGAAGGCAGGGAGTGACAGGGGGAGGGAGAAGGCAGTGAGTGACAGGGGGAAGGGAGAAGGCAGGGAGTGACAGGGGGAGGCAGAAGGCAGGGAATGACAAGGGGAGGGAGAAGGCAGGGAGTGACAGGGGGGAGGGAGAAGGCAGGGAATGACAAGGGGAGGGAGAAGGCAGGAGTGACAGGGGGAGGGAGAAGGCAGGGAAGTGACAGGGAGGGAGAAGGCAGGGAGTGACAGGGGGGAGGGAGAAGGCAGTGAGTGACAGGGGGGAGGGAGAAGGCAGTGAGTGACATGGGGAGGGAGAAGGCAGGTAGTGACAGGGGGAGAGGGCAGGGAGTGACAGGGGAGGAGAAGGCAGTGAGTGACAGGGGGAGGGAGAAGGCAGGGAGTGACAGGGGGGAGGGAGAAGGCAGGGAGTGACAGGGGGAGGGAGAAGGCAGGGAGTGACAGGGGGGAGGAGAAGGCAGGGAGTGACAGGGGGGAGGGAGAAGGCAGGGAGTGACAGGGGGAGGGAGAAGGCAGGGAGTGACAGGGGGGAGGGAGAAGGCAGGGAGTGACAGGGGGAGGGAGAAGGCAGGGAGTGACAAGGGGAGGGAGAAGGCAGGGAGTGACAGGGGGGAGGGAGAAGCAGGGATGACAAGGGGAGGGAGAAGGCAGGAGTGACAGGGGAGGGAGAAGGCAGTGAGTGACAGGGGGAGGGAGAAGGCAGGAGTGACAGGGGGAGGAGAAGGCAGGGAGTGACAGGAGAAGGGAGAAGGCAGGAGTGACAGGGGGAGGCAGAAGGCAGGGAGTGACAGGGGGGAGGGAGAAGGCAGGGAGTGACAGGGGGAGGGAGAAGAGGGGGAGTGATAGGGGGGAGGGAGAAGGCAGTGAGTGACACGGGGAGGGAGAAGGCAGGTAGTGACAGGGGGAGGAAGAAGGCAGGGAGTGACAGGGGGGGAGAAGGCAGGGAGTGACAGGGGAGGAGAGAAGGCAGGGAGTGACAGGGGGGAGGGAGAAGGCAGGGAGTGACAGGGAGAGAGAGAAGGCAGTGAGTGACAGGGGGAAGGAGAAGGCAGTGAGTGACAGGGGGAAGGGAGAAGGCAGGGAGTGACAGGGGGAGGCAGAAGGCAGGGAATGACAAGGGGAGGGAGAAGGCAGGGAGTGACAGGGGGAGGGAGAAGGCAGGGAATGACAAGGGGAGGGAGAAGGCAGGGAGTGACAGGGGGGAGGGAGAAGGCAGGGATGACAAGGGGAGGGAGAAGGCAGGGAGTGACAGGGGGAGGGAGAAGGCAGGGAGTGACAGGGGGGGGGAGAGGCAGGAGTGACATGGGAGGGAGAAGGCAGGTAGTGACAGGGGGAGGGAGAAGGCAGGGAGTGACAGGGGGAGGGAGAAGGCAGTGAGTGACAGGGGGAGGGAGAAGGCAGGGAAGTGACAGGGGAGGGAGAAGGCAGGGAGTGACAGGGGGAGGGAGAAGGCAGGGATGACAAGGGGAGGGAGAAGGCAGGGAGTGACAGGGGGGAGGGAGAAGGCAGTGAGTGACAGGGGGAGGAGAAGGCAGGGAGTGACATGGGGAGGGAGAAGGCAGGGAGTGACAGGGGGGAGGGAGAAGGCAGGGAGTGACAGGGGGGAGGGAGAAGGCAGTGAGTGACAGGGGGGAGGGAGAAGGCAGGGAGTGACAGGGGGAGGGAGAAGCAGGGAGTGACAGGGAGAGGAGAAGGCAGGAGTGACAGGGGAGGGAGAAGGCAGGAGTGACAGGGGGAGGGAGAAGGCAGGGAGTGACAGGGGGAGGAGAAGGCAGGGAGTGACAGGGGAGGGAGAGGCAGGGAGTGACAGGGGGAGGAGAAGGCAGGGAGTGACAGGGGGAGGGAGAAGGCAGGGAGTGACAGGGGGGAGGGAGAAGGCAGGAGTGACAGGGGGAGGAGAAGGCAGGGAGTGACAGGGGGGAGGAGAAGGCAGGGAGTGACAGGGGGAGGGAGAAGGCAGGGAGTGACAGGGGGAGGGAGAAGGCAGGGAGTGACAGGGGGAGGGAGAAGGCAGGAGTGACAGGGAGGGAGAAGGCAGGGAGTGACAGGGGGAGGAGAAGGCAGGGAGTGACAGGGGGAAGGGAGAAGGCAGGGAGTGACAGGGGGAGGGAGAAGGCAGGGAGTGACAGGGGAAGGGAGAAGGCAGGGAGTGACAGGGGGAGGGAGAAGGCAGGGAGTGACAGGGGGAGGGAGAAGGCAGGGAGTGACAGGGGGGAGGGAGAAGGCAGGTGAGTGACAGGGGGAGGGAGAAGGCAGGGAGTGACAGGGGGAGGGAGAAGGCAGGGAGGGAGAAGGCAGGGAGTGACAGGGGGAGGGAGAAGGCAGGGAGTGACAGGGGGGAGGGAGAAGGCAGGGAGTGACAGGGGAGGGAGAAGGCAGTGAATGACAGGGGGAGGAGAAGGCAGGGAGTGACAGGGGGAGGGAGAAGGCAGGAGTGACAGGGGGAAGGGAGAAGGCAGGGAGTGACAGGGGAGGGAGAAGGCATGAGTGACACGGGGAGGGAGAAGGCAGGAGTGACAGGGGGAGGGAGAAGGCAGGGAGTGACAGGAGAGGGAGAAGGCAGGAGTGACAGGGGAGGGAGAAGGCAGGGAGTGACAGGGGGAGGGAGAAGGCAGGGAGTGACAGGGGGAGGGAGAAGGCAGGGAGTGACAGGGGGGAGGGAGAAGGCAGGGAGTGACAGGGGGAGAGAAGGCAGGGAGTGACAGGGGGAGGGAGAAGGCAGGGAGTGACAGGGGGAGGGAGAAGGCAGGGAGTGACAGGGGGAGGGAGAAGGCAGGGAGTGACAGGGGGGAGGGAGAAGGCAGGAGTGACAGGGGGGAGGGAGAAGGCAGGGAGTGACAGGGGGAGGGAGAAGGCAGGGAGTGACAGGGGGGAGGGAGAAGGCAGGGAGTGACAGGGGGAGGGAGAAGGCAGGGAGTGACAGGGGGGAGGGAGAAGGCAGGGAGTGACAGGGGGGAGGGAGAAGGCAGGGAGTGACAGGGGGAGGGAGAAGGCAGGAGTGACAGGGAGGGAGAAAGGCAGTGAGTGACAGGGGAGGGAGAAGGCAGGGAGTGACAGGGGGAGGGAGAAGGCAGGGAGTGACAGGGGGAGGGAGAAGGCAGGGAGTGACAGGGGGAGGGAGAAGGCAGTGAGTGACACGGGGAGGAGAAGGCAGGAGTGACAGGGGGAGGAAGGCAGGAGTGACAGGGGAGGAGAAGGCAGGGAGTGACAGGGGGAGGGAGAAGGCAGGGAGTGACAGGGGGAGGGAGAAGGCAGGGAGTGACAGGGGAGAGGAGAAGGCAGGAGTGACAGGGGAGGAGAAGGCAGTGAGTGACAGGGGGAAGGGAGAAGGCAGGGAGTGACAGGGGGGAGGAGAAGGCAGGGAGTGACAAGGGAGAAGGCAGGAGTGACAGGGGGAGGGAGAAGGAGGGATGACAGGGAGGGAGAAGGCAGGAGTGACAGGGGGGAGGGAGAAGGCAGGGAATGACAGGGGAGGGAGAAGGCAGGGAGTGACAGGGGGAGGGAGAAGGCAGGAGTGACAGGGGGAGGGAGAAGGCAGTGAGTGACAGGGGAGGAGAAGGCAGGGAGTGACAGGGGGAGGGAGAAGGCAGGAGTGACAGGGGGAGGGAGAAGGCAGGGAGTGACAGGGGGAGGGAGAAGGCAGGGAGTGACAGGGGAGGGAGAAGGCAGGAGTGACAGGGGGAGGGAGAAGGCAGGGATGACAAGGGGAGGGAGAAGGCAGGGAGTGACAGGGGGAGGGAGAAGGCAGGGAGTGACAGGGGGGAGGGAGAGGCAGTGAGTGACAGGGAGGGAGAAGGCAGGGAGTGACAGGGGGAGGGAGAAGGCAGGAGTGACAGGGGGGAGGGAGAAGGCAGGGAGTGACAGGGGAGGGAGAAGGCAGGGAGTGACAGGGGAGGGAGAAGGCAGGGAGTGACAGGGAGGAGAGAAGGCAGTGAGTGACAGGGGGNAGGCAGGGAAGTGACAGGAGTGAGAGGAGGGAAGTGAAGGGGACAGGGAAGTGACAGGAGGGGAGGGGAGGAGAAGCAGTGAAGTGTAGCACGGGAGGGAGGAGAAGCACAGGGAGTGACAGGGGGGAGGGAGAAGGCAGACTAGTGGGCGAGCATCCGGGACTTTTGCTGAAAGTGTGTGATGAGTAGGCCTAGATCTAGGATTTCATGGCTGCAAAAGCTATCCTGTTTCAGCGTCTCTCGCGCAATTTCAAAAATGCACACAAAAACAATATCGGATAATCCCGGGTCATTGTTGAAAATGCAGGCCATCAAACTTACCCTGAAAAAAGTCCCAACCTAAGAGCTCTTAGAAGGGAACCAGACTATGCCAAGAAATCAAATTTTCTTTAAGAAAGGAAATGCGAAATTTTAGATATGACTTTGTATAATAAGCAACTTCTTTTCTTTTTAACGAAAGGGCATTCCTCAAGTAGATCTGTTGATGTGTGAATTAGTTTGTCAGAATAATTGAGGATTTATATATTATTTTATTCATTCATATATCTATACAGTTTGAATTCCTGGGGACACGACTTAGCAGTCTGCCTTTTAGGTTCCTTGGCAGGTTCCTTCCCCCCCCCCCACCTTTTTATCAGTCTTCGAGCAGCGCCGCCAGGAGCGCCCCCAGGCCCCTACGAGCCTCAACATCTCTGCTCTGGCTTTTCTCGATCCTACACCCTTCCTAGGAAACATTATCTGCCCCCTCATAGCCTTATAGACAGTAGGCTAACAGAAAATCCATTGGTTAAATTTAAAACATACTCCCAAATTACCACATGTTTTTATAAAGTATTTTAGTAGTTAACAGTTATTCTGAAACAGTCGCCACCTGCAGCATCCATATCATATTTATGATGATATTCCCTCCATTCCTCCTTGCAGTTTTCCTTTTGTGTGCTTCTTCCCCCTTTCGCTTTGACCCTTCCTCTTTTCATTTCTCTTTCTCTTTGCTTCCCCCTTTATCTCATCATTCCTTTCCTCTCCGCTTTCTCACTTTCCTTCTCGTTTCCTTTTCTCCCCTTCTCTCCCTGTTCCTTTATTCTGCCTCATTCTCTCTCTTCAACATTCATATTATTTTCAGTTAAATGTTGAAATTTAAGAAATTCTTAATTTCATTTTTATATTTGTTTCTATCTCGCTTATTTTTGTCTCAAAATTATTTCTGTCTTCGATTTTCTTCTCATCTCTCTTTTGACTTTTTTTTTTACTGTTTATTATTATTATTATTATTATTATTATTATTATTTTCTTTATCCTCCATTTTTATTTATGTCTTTCCTTCTTCCTGTCAGTCCCTTTCTGTATCTTTGTTTCTTTATCTTAGTTTTTTTCTTTCTCCTTTTAAATATTTCTCTCGTTTCCCCATTCTCCATTTTATCCTTCTTCCCTCGTTTTACTTTTGTCATATTTGCTTTTATCTTCTTTTTCCTTTTCCTCCTTTTCACTTTTCTATTTCTCCAATTTTCCTTTTCTCTCCTTCTTTCTCTCTTCTTCCTTCCCTTCCTTACCCTTTCCCTCTTCTTCTCCCATTCTCCCTCTCCCTGTCTCCGATTTCCATTTCTACCGTTTTTGTCTCTCTTCTTTCCCTCTTCCTCATTTATTCTATTCTTATGTTTCCTTCTCTAACTTTGTCCTTTTTTTCTTTTTCTATCTTTTTTTTTCTCTGCTTTTCACTTTCTCCCTTTCCACATTTTCCCTTCCCTCATTTATCCTCTCTCCCTTTACCCTTTCGCCTTTTCCCTGTTCTCTCCTCTTTCCCTTTTCCCCTCTTCTTTGTGCCTTTGTTGTTATAATTACTCTCTGTTTCTCTTTTTGTTTTTTTCTCCTCCTTTTCTCACATTTCCTATTTATCTCCTTTTCCATTTCTTCCCTTTCCCCTTTCTCTCTTTCCCTTTTTATTACATTTACCTTTTTAATTTTTCTATCCCTTTTCCTTTTTCCCATTTCCTCTTACACTTTTTCCCTACTTCTTCCCTTTTCCATGTATCTCTCTTTCCCTTTCTCCTTTTTTCTTTTTCTCTCCATTTCCCATTCTACCTTTACCACTTTTTTCCATTTTCCTTTTCTCTTCATCTCAACTCAGTTGTTCTTTCTTTTCCACCTTTCTTTCTTTTTCTCATATATTTCCTCTTGCTCAGAGCTTTCCTTTTTTTCATTTACCCTTTTATCTTCTTCCCCCTTTTTCTCTTCTACCCCTTTTCTCTCTTCTTCCCCCCTTTTCTCTTCTCTTCCCCCTTTTCTCTCTTCTTCCCCTCTTTTCTCCCTTCTTCCCCCTTTTATCTCTTCTCCCCCCCCTTTTCTCTGTTCTTTCCTCTTTTCTGCTCCTCTTCCTCACTCGTTCTTCCCTTTCTCTATCCCTCTCTTTTTTTTATAAGCGACAGGTTTTCATACATGTCTCTACACTACTCACCCCCCCCCCCCCCACCCCAGGTGTACACAATGAGCGGCAACTTGAACCGGAGACGCAGGCCAAGTCCGAATACTAGCGAGGATGAGGAACACGACTATGACTATGACTACAACGAGCACCATGCTCATTCTGCCCGTTCCCACGATTCCGGCCGGCGCGGAAACTCGGCCCGGTATGCT